TGATTCTCCCTCGTAACAGAACCCCATCGGGAACGACGCAATAGAAAAGCTCTACCAACTGCCAATAAAGTCCGTTTTGTAGCTGAGAGTGCAGCTTTTGGCCGGCCGGTCTGCCAGCCGTCAGTGGCTGTCCGTTTTTTTTTTTTGCGTTGCCCGATTATAGCCACGAAACCCAGCAGAGAATCCCTTCGTCTGAGAAGGGCTCCAATATCTGAGAGAAGGTTTTGATGATCGCGCTGAGGACGGCTCGATGGTCAGTGAGCAGGGCCCGACTCGATCGCCGGGCCAAATTGAGCCCCCTGCGGCGCGGACGGCATCGATTTCGAGCCGGTTGAACCGCCCCCGGCCAGCCCATCTGGCAGAGAAGATTGGGTGGGATGCAATCGGCAGAGAAAACATGGTAAGAGACAGAATGTGGTGATGAAAAGACCCAGAAATGTTTGAGAGAAAATACATAGATCGGTTTAAAAAGCACTGGTCGAATTCGTACGCTCTTAGAACGCAAGATAATTTTCTTCACTTCTTGACCTCGTGTTTTGTAAGGAAGGCACGATCTAAAATAAGAATATCCGATGCAACTTAAAGCTTCAATAACGTCACCGCTGTTTTGTCCAGGCCACGGTAGAATCCCGTGCACCACAGTGCCTCTGCTGTCATTCTGTTGCAGCAGAAGACAATACTGCAGGAAGTGGCGACCAGCCTCACCCGTCGTGCGGAGGGGTGGTCACGAGGAGAGCAGAGGCCGCCCCAGGGGCAGAGTGGGGAGGAAGGGTTGGTCACGAGGAATGCAGAGGCCGGGCGGGCCGCACCAAAGGCAGAGTGAAGAGACACAGCTCCGCCAGCCGGCCTGCGGGAGACCAAATGAAAGACAAACAGACCGGGCGGCGCCGGCCGACGGGCGATGGGCCGGGAGGGGAGGGGAGGCGGGGAAGGGGAGGGAGAGGGGAAAGGAGCAGAGTGTGATTGGCCGGATCGTGACTCGGCGGGCCTTTGGTGCAGCGGTGTGAGCAGTCTGCTGCAGCTGGGCCGCGCACTGTGCAAGCTGCCCGTGCGTTGTGAAGGTTGAAATAGGCAGCCTGTCGTAAAGTGGAGTTTACACCACGAGTTTTCACCAGCTGCTTAGCACACATCCCACGTGCCACCAATATTTACTGCATGTCTAATTTGGCAGCAATCACTGAATATTGGACAGGTATGAAGTTACTGATGACCGCAACCAGGTAACCCAAATCTCACCCCAACCCACCTATTACCCCACATTAAACTGGCCCCGCCCCTCAGTGGGTTGTGTTCACCCCTCCTCCCCCCCCCCCCCTCCAGCCCCGACCGGCCACGTCCGCTCGAGTCTGGCACAGCGATTACACCATAACTCAATGGTCTGAGACGTGCTACAGCCACAGTCGTGTCGGAATGGGGTGGAGGCCACAGTATCAGCGACACCGGCCCCACAGCTGGCGGGCCGAGCTGCCGACCGCAGCGAAACGCCGCACACGACAGCGACAGCCGCGGCGGCGGCGGCCGGCCGCTCCAGCCCACACAGCCAAATCTACAAGCTGGACTGGCCCGTCCGGATTAGCACTGGCAGACACCCGGAAAATCGCCAGGTATAATCTCATGGCTCCCTGGATTCTGAAGGCGTGCCACGACCAACCGCAACCGCACCAGCGACCGCAAACAGATGGTGCAGCGATATAGCTGCAGAATCGCGGCCGTCCGCGGCGCCGACGGGACGCCGGGTCCGGCCGACCGGACACCTACTTCCGCGTCAGCTGTGTGGTGGCGGTGGCGGTGGCGGTGGCAACGGTGGCGACGGTGGCGTTGGTGGCGATGGCGGCGATGGGGACGGAGGTGGCGGTGGCGTTGGCGATGGCGATGTACGACAGGGCAATGTTGGTCGTAAAGGTCGATTACAGTCTCGATTTGTCGCAGGGATATGGCACGTGGTGTAACACACCAAAGTTGTGGTGTGACGTGTGCTGCAAAGTGACGCGTAGCAATGAGTACCGGAAGACAGCATGACCATCATTTTCACCATCGTCTGCCACCTATCCGCCAGCTTCCGCTTCTGCTTGACTACTATATATATATATATATATATATATATATATATATATATATATATATATATATATATATATATATATATATATATATATATATATATATATATATATATATATATATATATATATATATATATATATATATATATATATATATATATATATATATATATATATATATATATATATATATATATATATATATATATATATATATATATATATATATATATATATATATATATATATATATATATATATATATATATATAAATAAATACTATATTATATTATAGATTGTAGCGTTCCAGACGTCCACATCCGCACCGATAGCAGCGTTTCGCAATGTATCCCTTCCGCTCCGTCCAAGGAATATTCGGTCGCCTTGTTTCATCGTTTGAGACGTCCTATCACTAGAAGTCCAGAGTCAGACATCTGAGGCTCGTCAAAAGGTTATGTGAGTATATTACGAGTGAAGATGATTCCAGACTAATCCGATCACAACCACGTCTGTCTGGAGTCCCGCGACACCACTCGACCAAGCACCGGACATGTCTGGCTAAACATCGCCAGAAGTTTGTCATCTGAAGAATGTCAATCGTCAGAATATCGTGATGTCGATCAGATGTTGACCTCCCATGATTTCTGTTGCCTGTCGACTAAATACAAATTTTGCGATATTACAATACACAGTCCACTTTCACGACGCATGCATATATAGTTACGACGCAAACGAAAGCTTGAAACTTACGGAAGTAGCAACAAATTGTGGTGTACGATCTTTGAATCCCCCTTTTAAATCGTAGGTTTCATCAGAATCTTTATGAATCAAACAAACCTTTCACCAGTCCATTCCTGCCCGTGACTTTTCAAACGCACCAACCGTTGACATCGGGCGCCTTTCTGTTGCATATTTGAACGGCACGCCGTCTCTGGACATTCCATGGCTGGATTTTCGCCACTCCAAACAGCAGGTCCTGGACTTTCCAATCCCTTCACGGCACGTGACGGGGCGTCACAACACGTGCATGGCGCCACGTACGTATTGCTGGAAAAGAGTCGTGCAGCCATGGCATTCAGCTTTTACACTTTTTGGTTTACTTTGCATAATTCAGAGAATTGCTGAATGTGGTCTGAGGTATGTGCTTGCTTAAATGTAGATTATCTATTTTTGGTGGAGTCAAAACATGAAATATCAATGAAAGGGTGGACAGGTGCAAAAGCATCGTTTGTGACTTGCAAAGGCAACACCGTGAAAAAAAAACTTACGCAGCCATGCCTGAAATAAAACATAAATTAGAAGTTTCCAAATCTATGCCCAGGTGCTCGATGGAAAGGGCGCGAATATTATATGAGTTATAGCAGAACTTTGTCAACTACGTAGGCCTGCGTTAGTCGCACATTATTGGGGTGGGCCAATTCATCGCGTCTATGCAGGTGGAAGCTTTTCATCGGCCAACTGCGTCGCTGGGGCCCGCGCAGTTACAGGACAGGGTGCGATAGGGCGGGGTGGGGGCAACGGGGCAGAGGGTAGAACGGCGCAGTGGAGGTCTGGCCACCCTGCCATATACAACCTATAGGCTATAGCTGTCAGGTGGCGGTTAGAACGGACCATCAATCCATCTGCGGCTAAAGTTTATCTCCATCCCGCCCAACTGCACATTCAGAGCATATGACGTATGAACTGCAAGTGTAGCAAATAAGAGATACCTAATGATAAATGAACGTGGTATTGTTTTTAGGCATCTGTTTACTTTCAATATTCAGTCATGCTTCCACCGTTATCGCCCCACGAATAATCTCACTTTGTTCCCATTATCATACACCAAGCAGATCTTTTTATTCAGCAAATACATTGCTGTATGGTGTTGACATGTCGTGGTTCTGCGTTAGTCCGGTCTGAGGCCCATCGGTACCCGAAGACTGAGGTCACTGAGTCTATCACCTGAGTGCACCCATCACCTGCACCTGTTCCACAGCCGACTGATGTGACGTCACTGACGTGGCTCCCCTCGGCAGATGACGGATGATGACAGTGATGGCCATCAGGGCTAATAAAGCTGCTCCCGTCGACCGCACAGTTGCACACCCAGTTCAAACTGCACAGTGCGCACGTATTGAACCGGAGACCTCATGTGTTCATGCAGGTCATGCGATGCTCCATGCATTCCAAATTATACTTTTTGCTTTCTTATATTTAATGGAATAACCTTCTGTTCAAAATTCTAAAAATTGCCAAAAGTTACCAAAAACACTTGAATATATTTCGGAGGCCTCCGAAATATATTCAAGTGTTTTTGGTAGCTTTTGGCAATTTTTAGAATTTTGAACAGAAGGCTATTCCATTAAATATATTACATATAATGCTGTTCACCAGAGTGCTTCGTCATTTTTTTGCTTTCTTTCTAAATTCTACCCGTAAAATCCTATGGAAAACACAATAATAGTATAACATTTGCTCTAAAACAAATGTAATACAAAGCATTAAAAAAGTTTGAAATATTTGGTGTGGAATAGCAACGAAGTTGTGCGTTAGTGGGTTAAAGCTCGTAAATAATGGCAATGTGCAGCACTGGATGTTGAAAAATTATTGGATGGTCGCCATGTGCCAGACAATTATTTTCTAGCATGCAAGGTGGACCGTCTACTGTGAATGCATGCAGATTGCAGTTCCAAAATCATGCAACCACAATATCCAGTGAAACCGAGTAGATAAATTGATTATGAGAGCTTCAAAAAGGTCTTGCAATGCGAGAGAGAAAGAAAGGGGCAAGGAGGGGGATGAAGAAAATTGCCCATCGTTAGCAATTTAATTTCCAGCCAGTCAGTGGACTCAACCGATTTAGGAGAAGTGTAAAATACAAAATGCAGCAAGAATAAGAAAATGCGATAAACAGACGAAGAAGGCAACCAGATTGCGTGCAGTTTCTGTCTTACCTGTGTTGCGTTGCTCGCCGTTCTCCATCCTTGGTGCCTCAGGACTCGGAGCTCGTGGTCCTGTCCGCTCGTAATCCAGGCCGGAACTCAGCCACTCATGGCACCCACTGTCACCGAGCACACACTCCACACACCCTTCCGCAGGTGTCACTGACAGTTGACCCCGTGTCACTGACACTCTGACACGGCGTGACACGCTGTGTCACCACCACGGGCTCGACTGGTGCACCACCCGTATCACTGCCAATCACAGCAGGGACTGGTGGCTGGAGAGCCACTCGCTGCCTGCTGACAGCTGCACACACACAGCCCCTCTGGGACACACAGACACACCAACACACACCTGGGACCGACTCCGGCAATTCTCCCACCGGGCCGGTCGGAATCCTTCGCCTCTTGAGAGCGATCACCGCCGTGTCGCTATAAATCGGCCGCGATCACACCGCTATTGTTGGAGCCGCCACCGGTCGGAATGGGCCCGGCACGGGATCCCAGAAGCAGCGGCCCTCCGCAGGGGACGGGCGACACCGTATCCTCAGACGACAGCCACACCGAGCGGGACTTCACAGCGACCTCTCGGCGCGGCCGCCCGCGCGCGACTGAGCTGCAGCCGCCCCGCCGCCGCCGCCGCCGTCCGGCAGCCCGCCGACCGCCGCCGCCGCCGCCGCCGCCGACCGTTGCCCGCCGCTCGCCTGACCGGCCGACCGCGCGCGCAAGCCTGCCAGTCGCCGCATCGTCACACGGCTCTGCGGCTCTGCACAGCCGAGTCTTATGACCTCCCCCATGGGCCTCTGCGTGGACTCGCCCACAGCTCCTGCCCATACCCCCTCCCCTCCCGCCCTCCACCTATGAGCTTTGTGAAGTTAGAGTCCCCCGATCGACCCGTGTCGTGTTGAGGTCCGGGCCTCGGCCGGCGGCGGCCGGCTCTCCTCCGATTGCATGAGTGGTCGCGGCGTTCTATCGCGGCCGCCGGTCTTGATTACACGGCCGCCGGTCCTGATTTATGGACCGCCTATTCAGCGCGGCCCAGAAGGCCAGCCAGCACCGGCGGCCGCGAGCGCTCGGCGGCCGGCCCTATGGCAGGGGTGGGAAAGGGTGGGGTCATAGGATGCCTCAGGGGATCAGGCGTGGCCGATCCCGGCGCGTCCCTCCGCCATTTTCTTCCCAGATCTTGCCTGGGACAGACATTGCAGTCATCTCCCATGTTTCAGTCCCGATAATGCCCAAAGCTATTTCAAAACCATGTTCATCACCTTTTCTTTTCCATGCCATTCTTTTCAATGTCCCATTCTTACAGCTCACATGCGCAATTCCGGCATTTCCATTTTCCCTTTTAGGAGACAGGAGATTCCACTTCAGTGCTTCAACTGGTACACATGAATTTATTCAGCTGCCAGTCGCCAGCAGAGCACATCATGGTGGAAGCACCCAGCAGAGCAAGTCGTGACGTTTTCCTGCTGGCATCAGCCCAGGGTCGAGTCGCGATTTCAGCACCCCAGTCACCGATCTCCTACATCGGCTCTACCGAAACATCAGCTCATCAGCTCTCTGTGTCCGTTTAGGGAAGGAACTGAGCCATTGTTATGGTGTTTAAAATTATATTGGTGTTCGTGAATACGTAGAGATGGCGCAAGCAGTTACCTATTGTGGAAACATTGAAGACAGCAGGGGGAAGCATGCTCGTAGGCAAAAGCTTAGAGCTCAAATGACTGAATTAAAATGGCATTTCTGGCAGAACACTGGCGGACGTTTGTGCTGTTCGGATGTTGTGACCATGTGAAGAATCTGCTGCGCGCTGTTTTGACGTTCCGTGGCCAGCACTGTGCGCCGGCCGCACTGTGCGCCGGCCGCACTGTGCAGTCTCCATTGTAAATGCACCGCCACGGCTGCATTGATTGACCATTGTTGCGCGGTTCGGCACGGGCGGTCTAAGGCTCCTTTGTTGCCGGGCGCCTTTGGTGCGGTGCCCTACCATTATTCCTGCGCAAAGGATTGTGTCGGTGGCCGGCTGTATGCGTGTGTCACGATCACAACACTGGGTCACTGTGTGTGAGGGGTGGGGGTGCGTATGATGCATCGGAGCGCGCGAGCGGCTTTGGTCGGTACTTCGCTGCCCGATGCTTAGTTCTATGACAATCGATGGTCGGCATTTTGCCGCTCGATGCATAGCTCAATGCAATTCGATAAAAGGAGCCCTAAAAATAGTGTGAGCCCAATCTTCTACGCAGTGAGCAGTACGTTATGTTGCCTCATCCATTTATAGATTTTTTTCAACACGTTCTGCATAAGTTGTCATACAGCTCGTTCGATCCGATTCCTTCCGAAAGTTTTCTCTTCGATGAAATCGAAAGTCCTATCAGGTGCAACTGCAGTGCATTCTATGTTAGTTTCTGGCTACATCTCATTAATTCATTTATCCACTTACAGAAAAGCTTTATGTCCTCCTCCCTTGTCGGCTGCGGCAGAGGCCAGAACAGTCCTCGTAATGGTAACATTTGCATTGGCGAAGACTGTCCGAACGCACGACGCCGAGGCTAAGCAGGATCCACCTGACCATACGACTAAACACACCTTTCTAGTTTTGCCACTGGGATTTATACGTACGAGTATATTATTATAATCAGAGCAAACTATATCCTGGGGACGACCGCCTGTGACCACTGCGTCAGGCGACGTCAGACCATGCCCCTGCTGTCTAGTGACCCCTGATCGTGTCCCCGCTATCTAGTGACCCCTGACCCTGACCTCACTGTGACAGGTGCCCCCTGGCCGTGTCCCCAGTTCCAGTGACCCCTAACCCTGACCCCACTCTGACAGGTGCCCCTGACCGTGTCCCCTCTGTCTAGTGACCCCTAACCCTGACCCCACTCTGACAGGTGCCCCCTGACCGTGTCCCCACTGCTCAGTGACCCATAACCCTGACCCCACTCATGACAGTCTAGTGACTGTCTAGTGACCCATGGCCGTCACCTACTCCTGCAGACGTCAGATGCTGGCTCTGCATTGTCTCGGGGCCGGTCAGCCCGCCCTGTGACCGGCTCAGCAGTCTGTCGAGCGATGCTCAGCACGCCGCCGCCGACAGAGACCCATTAAAAAGATTGGCGAGGCGCTGCAGTTGCCATAACGGATGGGTAATGGCCCGCGCAGGGCTAGGCGGCGTGCCGGGCTGAGACGGGCAGGGCAGGGCGGGGCAGTGTGGGACAGGGCAGGGCAGGGCAGGGCAGTGCGGGACAGGACAGTGCGGGACAGGGCAGTGCGGGACAGGGCAGGACAGGACAGGGCAGGGCGACTAGACGGCGTGCCGGGGTGAGACGGGCGGAGCAGGGCAGGCCAGGGCAGGGCCGGGCAGGGTTAGGTCACACGTCCGGCACCCGCGGGGGGCAGGGCAGGGCGCGCCGAGAGCCAAGGGTTGCCAGTATTGCAGGTGCTCGTATGTGGGACCGAGGCTACCGAACTAAATACAAGAAAGACACATTTACATGAACAACTTAGTATGGAATAAGCTCACCTTCATCCGGTATGCTTATTTTCCATCAAACATACAGTCCGGGAAGCTGGTTCGATTGACGACTCCTTGCCATTTCACCTAAAATTATTGGTGAGATGGCAAAAATTATAGTTGGCATTAGGCTCCTTGGACAAAAGAAGGGTTATAGTAGGACAGTCTACCAGTCCCCTTCTCATTTAATTTCGCCCATTAGAAGCTGTGTGCATTTCGTTTGATGAAATATCAACGATAAGTGCACGAAACGGCGACGCTCTTGTCGGTCTTCCGGTAAAAAAGTCGTGGAAAAAACCCAAACTGTGCCATCGCTCTTAGAACCATGTGCACAATGCACATTGCACAAGGACCAACTACCATCAGAATTGACCATCGAGTTATTTCTAAATGGTCAATAAGTTTAATTATCAGATAAATCAAGTGTAGCCATCAGGTAAATACATATTGCATGTCATGCGCCGGATACCTACATAGCAACTGAGGCGCCGTCTTATCGCAGGTTTTAACCGAGCCTGCTTGTTCCTTCGGCCCGCAGCCGGTGCCGTGTACCCGTCGCCCGCGTGCAGCCCGATAACGAATGACAGTTCCATTTGTTACCGGGGCTGCCGAGCCTGCCACCGGGCGCTGCTGTACGGCATGGGCGACGGTCGTGTTTCTTATTCGATACCGGCCGGCGGCGCGGTGTGGTGCTAAAGGTTTGGGGATTGGCTGGAACGCATCGCAAATTGCAAGGTTCTACCGGGTGAAGTACCGTGAAAAGTTCAGCCTGCATAGTCAGCTACTGCACCATTAGTTATGTGATCATCAGGCCGTCCAAACTGCGCACTGAGTGGTCAGACGGCAGACCCACCCCTTCCCCTACCCACCCCTTCCCCCAGCCGTCATTGCCGGCAAACCGGCACCAATTACTCGCGCCATAAAAGGCGCGCCACGACAAATGAGTCGCTGTTATTATTCGGCGGCGGCTGTGGCGCGGCGCGGCGCCGAGTTACGATCGTGACGCAGCTGCGACGATGTGCGGCGCCGCCAGCCGCACTAATGGAGCGACGCCCATCACCTGATCGGTCGACCGACATCGAATACTGCGCTCCGGCGTGGCGGGGGGGGGGGGGAAGGGGGGGGGGTCGTATCGCTGAACACGACTGGGCCGACGGCTCGAATTCAGTGTCGGTGTGTCGAGAGACCACTGGTATGGTAATGCAGCTCTGAGCTCAGCATTCAGCAGCTGCGGGGCTGCGCCAGGAGGCCGGTTCTGTTTTACCCTTACCGGTTTCGCTGTGCATGAGAAACCGCCGGGTGATCAGATGTCACCAGAAACCAGGTAATACGATGACGTTCCACCGACCACCAGTATGCACATTGCACATTGCATATTACATATCCTCCACTCAATGCTGACAAGAGACCGCTGCCGTAGTTTAGTTTAAAAATACCTTCCTTCTGAAACGAGCAAATGTAGCGTGAATTGGTGAACAGCCAACATTCTCTAGCGTCAAAGCAAGAGACTGACCCAACAACAACCAAAACAAGAGCCATCATGGCTCGCTGAGCCTAAGCGACGGCGGTGGCGGCGGCGGCTGAGCGGCGGCGGCGGCGGCGGCGGCGGCGGTGGCGGTGGGACGGTCCAGGACCACGTCATCGCCGGCGCCGGATGACGCAGTACCGCCGTGAGTTATGATGACGGCCGCCGCGCCGCCAGCCGGGGACCGTTACAAACACAGACAGTGGGGCGTCACGATGTCTGACACCTCATCTGACACAGTCCGACACTGCGGGTGTGTTGACGACAGTGGCTGATAGATAGATGACGATAGATAGTGACTGAGTAGAGTGGTGTCGCAGCATACCAGACTGCCGCATCTCGGGATGGTTTCCCGTTTCGTATATGCATGTCTCAGGCTGCTCAGGCTGCTTCAGACAGTTTTTTTCAGACGTAATTAACATTGCACAATGTTGCTAGTCCTGCAAAACCATTACATGATTTATCAGTAATAGTCAGAAAATGTGTAACTTGGAAAACACAAATAAGCTTTTGTTTGGTGCTGCTAGGCAGTCAATAGTTTTTTTTTTTATAAAAATTATCCATTATATTGTCTTAAT